TATCATAACATCTGATAACAAAGATAATAATATTATAAACATAATTTGATCAGTTTGTTACAAAAGGACCTATTGACCATTAAGCTATTGCCCTCATGGCTCACACCCTTAGGTGCCAATCATCTCATAACACATCCTGGCATAACAGAACAAAAAATTAATGGACTCCTCTATCTCCTCCTCTTGCTCTTGTTGAAGTCCAATAGCATTGACATCACTTCATCCCTATGTTCATTTTGTGGATGGGTAACCAACCACCACAAACAGCCAACCTTCAACTCTTGCAATTCATCATTGGAGTATCGTGGCATGGTATATCCTGCAGCATCACGAATAGTGCCATCCCACTCTTGTAGCCAAGAGAGGACATGAACGCCACATGAATCACTGCCAAGCAAATTCAATATGTAAGCAGCATGCAATTTTTATTGTGAACAAACACAACATAACACAATCAAACAGAACAACTACACTCACGTATCATTCTGCACATAAACTTTACCCATTTCACTTCGTTGCCAATTTTGTCCTCATTGGCAAACAACTCTGGCTTAACAACACGCAACATCGTATAGAAACAGTTCATCTGCAAAAAAAAAAAACACATAATCAAAAGGTTTTACTAACAACACAGCATCCAGTGACAAGGGACAAAGTATATTGTGACAAGTAACATAGCATCCAGTGACAAGGGACAGAGTATGCAGTAACAAAAAACAGCATCCACTAACAACTAACAGAGCATCCACTGAGAAATGACAGAGCATCCAGTGTGAAGTAACAGCATCCAGTGACAAGTAACAGAGCATATAGTGACAACTAACACCGCATCCAGTGACAACTAACAGAGCATGCAGTGACAACTATGCAGGCTGCTAGTGACAACTATAAGAGTAGTCATTGACAAGTATAACAGCAGCAAATAAATACACACAGTCTGTGTTGCCATAAAGTGTTTGGGATTGAAGTGCCCTTTATTCGTCCTCTTTTTCAAACGCAATCATCAATATAGAAATAGAAATCCCCACAAAGGAATATAGTAACCACTACAGAGCATACAATCTTCACAAATACTTTGAACTCCAAGCAAGACATATCAACTATTCAACCTCATTTTTGTAACTTTAACAATCCACCGTGGTACTCAAAATCCACTCAGTATGCCACCATTGGCAAGTCACAGTGCCACCATTGACAAGTCACATTGCCACCAATGACAAGTCCGTGTGCCATCATTGACAAGTCAAATTGCCACCAATGACAAGTCCGTGTGTCACGATTAACAAGTCATAGTGCCACCAATAACAAGTCAGTGTGCCACCATTGGCAAGTCATAGTGCCACCAACGACAAGTCACAGCGCCACCATTAACAAGTCTTAAGGACATGATTGACAAGTCACTATGCCACCATTGACAAGTCACAGTGCCACCATTGACACTTCATTAATAATGATTATATATGACAAATAACCAAAAATATAATATGACAGAGTGATTGAAAATATCATATGTTACTAAAACAAATTATGTAACTTGAATTCATATTGTTGACAACTTACATCAGCAAATTAATTGACAAGTGACAGTGCTCTATTGATAAGTCATAACAGGTCTAATGACAATACAGAGTGCAGGTATGACAACTTAAATGACAGCAGAATCTAACATGCCAATTCATAGTCAACTTTCATTTACACCTTCATATACATGAAACTACACCTATTTCACAACCCATTCCAAAAAAACACAGGGGTTGCATGTAATTACGAGAAACTAACTATTAGTGTATATCCATTTACAAAAAATTCCCTTCACACCCATTTACAGTTTTGTTCAACTATACTTACACATCTTGCTCCTCTATTGTATATATTATCCCTTGTTGCTTCTATATGGTCCTCATTTTCATTTTCTTCGACATACACATGACCACTTTCTTCATTGAACTTTATCAAATGTTCCACCCCATCATCATCTACCAACTCCACAAAATTTTTTTTATCAAACACAACTGAGAATTTCAGAAGAAATGAGTTGCTTTCTTTTCCAGCAATTGATGATATAATTTCCTTCAATTCTTCATAACTTGTGCCCTTCTTTACATTGGTTGTTCTTACACTACCTCCCACATATCTCATATTATCTTCTCCATCATTTATAAATTTTCTCCCTATGTGAACAAAGCAAAATAGATGTTTTCCAGATGTACTTGCCATCAGTAACTTAAACCTGCATCAAGAAGCACGCAACTGTCACTGACAACTTAAGGAGCTACATTGACAAGTGTAGCGGCACACATTGACAACAATCGCGGCCTGATTGACAACACAATCCCATTTCGTGCTAAGAGTTTCTACCCTCACTAACCTTCATCTTTTTCTTCCTTTGCCACTAAACTAACGTCAAAACAGAGGAAAACCACCCAAAAACAACCCAAAAACAGAGCACCTATTATCATTCTACACACCCAACTTAAATCACAACACACACCAACCAAAAACATAGCTTTTCCATTCATTAACTTCTGAATCCTAAACCAAAAACAAAAGCTTTGAAATACCATCAGTAACTTAAACCTGCATCAAGAAGCACGCAACTGTCATTGACAACTTAAAGAGCTACATTGACAAGTGTAGCGGCACACATTGACAACAATCGCGGCCTGATTGACAACACAGTCCCATTTCGTGCTAAGGGTTTCTACCCTCACTAACCTTCATCTTTTTCTTCCTTTGCCACTAAACCAACGTCAGAACAGAGGAAAACCACCCAAAAACAACCCAAAAACAGAGCACCCATTATCATTCTACACACCCAACTTAAATCACAACACACACCAACCAGCACAAAGGCTCACAATTTTCGGTGGGTTGTGAGGGGAATTTGAGCATCGCGATAGGTTGTCACCAGATTTCCAGCAGCACAAAAGCATAACAGGGTTTCAGCTTTCTTCCGGTCAAACAAAAAACAGAGGCTCTAATCTCCTTTCAGCATTTTCGAATCTCATAAGCAAGGGCAAGAGGGTAATTTCCAGATTCTGAAAATTGCATCTAAGTCCCTTTGGGACTTCAGAAAAATTATGGGATTTCAGGGGACCTTTTTGCTGTATTTTTGGTTCTGTGGGACCTCAATGTCATTTTCCCTTAAAATAATTGTCACTTTTGGTTGTATTAAGAAATGTGTCACTTTGGAGTTGTGGTAAGTTCTTGGTTAACTTTTTCGATAAATTAATCTAACATTGTATATATTTTTTTGGATCCCTTTAGATGTGGTAAGTTTTTGGTTAACTTTTTCTAAACAGAGTCTTAAACTAACTAGTGCTTCTATTTTAATTTATTCATTTATGTTTTTGTTTTGCCGTGCGTCTGTATATATACTCCCTCTAGTCCTATTTATAAGTTTTAAATTTGGAGAAGGGTATGGTTCATTTTATAAGCTTCAATTAGGGGTTTGTCTAAATATTTAATTCATTTTTTATTTTTTAATTATTTATTCTCTCTCCTTTGTCATATCCTCTTGTCACATTTCCCATACATCCTCTTTTATCATTTTTCTCATTTATTACAAAGACATATTAAAAAGAACTATATTTCTAATCTTCTTATTGCTTTTAACTAATTTTAACTATTTCTTTATTATTCATGAATTAGTTATTTGGAGCTTATGATGAGGATCGAATAGAGTATTAAAAAACTTGTCCAAGTGAACTTGTGTTTCTGCAATACAATGTCCTAAATTTTGTTTTTAGGAAAAATTATTGTGACAGTCCTCATAGTTTCATAAAATTAGGTTTTCGTAGTTTTCTTCCTTTTCTTTTTTTTGTGGAATCCTTATTTACTCTGTTAATATCCCCCATTAAGTTTACGTTATTTTTTCTCAGCCAGTCGCGCCATCTCAACTTTTTTCTCTATCCTCTCACCGCTCATATCCTCTCTTTCTCTCTCCACTATCATCGACTTTGTCTTACTCTTGCAGAATCTTCACCCTTGCTCTATCTAATTCACTTTCTTCTCATCTCTTGCTCTTTCCTTTCCTTTCCTTCAGTTTCTCTTCAGCTCTCTCACTATAATAAGAACTCTCTAGCTCTCCTTGATTCATACCCAAAGAAGAAGAAGAAGAAGAAGAAGAAGCCATTGAAGCTGCAGCTATCTAACGTAAGAATCATGGGCCACTCTTCCAACACAATGTTACACGATGAATCATCAAGTTCCGCAAGAAAATTTGTGAGGGACAGCACTTGAACATCGGTCGACGGCGGGAGCTCCGACGGCAATAGAGACAAATTAGGAATCTGAGAAGGTTAATCAGAATACTGGCAAGAGATGAGAGAGCCAAGGAGAATGCCTCCTCTACCTTGAACCACACGTTGGAGAGGCACCATGAGTCTCATGGCCACGACTTGGGGGATTGAGTGGAAAAAAAATTTCATTGTTAACTGCTTGCATCGTCACTATTTTTCTTCCTCAAAAATCATTTTGAAGATGGCTTGCTTGATGAAGCTACGTATAGTTCTGTTCAAGGAAATTGGTTTGACGTAGAATTTCTGAGCCAAGCTCCTTCAACGACATTAATTATATATCTGGCAAAGATGTTGTGCAAATCATGGCAAAGGTAGTCAATATCTAATTGCTGTAAAAAGGATCTTTTACGGGAAAACTTTTGGTATTCACTGTGAAGGTGTAATATTGAGCTATAATCGTTCTGTGCTTTTTATTATTCCGTTGGCCCTTTTATACATCTGTTTCCTGGTGTTATATTACTCTTTTTAAGAAATCAATGGCAAAGGTGTTAATTTTTTTTTGGGTGGAAAATCCTGTTCACCACATGCCCAACAAGAATGGAGGAGGCGGAGGGTACTGTTGAAGCCCTCAGAAAGACATGTTAAATTTGATATTGAGAAGGAAAAATTATCACTTTAGAGTTATGCTGACGGAGAATAATAAAACTAATAAATAAATAGCTTCAATTTTTGTATGGCTCTTCAATGAGAAAGTCTTCTTGATTAGTACATCTCCATAATGAATTTGCGAAGCAGTCTCCACGGAAGGTTGATGGGATCATGAGGAGGAGAAGGAGGTTGGTTGAAATGATTGAGAACGCACCACTGTTGTATCTCTTCTTTACATAGCACTCTCCATCCCCATCCCTTTATTTCTATCTCATCAACCTCAAAAGCATTCACTAAAGACAGTTTAATGTGAAGAGAATTGTTATGATGAGCCCTTAGGTGCTGCCAACATGTTTTCTGATTTAATTCCAACACCATTATGCATTGGTGAGGATCGTTACTCCAAAGTAAAATCCTGCGCCCCCATTCCTGCCATATATAACCATCATCTTCTGCAGCTTTGCTACTCCAACGAATAGCCAAATCGCATGAGATAAGAAAGCATACAACAATTCCACACCATTCACTATCACGGTAATATGCAGGTATGTCCACTTTTATCTCATATTCCATTCTCATCTCATCATATTCTTTATTTGGAAACCATGATGGCATTACACATCCTGGAATAATTGCACAGAAATCTCTCACAGAGGAAACACATTCACCTGGCTGCAAGCATACCTAGCTGTTATATTAACATTCATTACCCATGAAGGGAGCACATGCTAGAAAAACACAAAAAAATAAGTCTCACATACCTCTAACTTCCATCGAAAAACATCATCTTCCGCATCATCAGAGATTACATATTTAGTTTGCCCACGACACTAGAATAAAAAGTTAGTCGTGTTATGTATATGTCATTTAGGGGAAAAAATACACATTATAGATTGGAAGACAAGCATACCTCATGGTCAAGTGGAGCAACCAAATTCCATAACTGTCTATCTGATGATAAAGGTTCCATTGAAGCACAATTGGGGGCATTTAAACGAATTACTGTGGTGGAAACCTTGGCAATGACTTGAGGCTTGTGCAATGATCAAATGAAAGAAAGAGAAGTCGAGAAAGACCAGAAAAGCAATTAGTAGGTAGATTCACAAAATGATTACCTCTCAGATCTAATACAATGAGTGATGATAAATTGCCAAAACCATCAGGAATCGATCCATCATTTAAGCCACACAAGCTTAAATATAGCTCTATTAATGATGTTACATTGAAGCAAGAAATTTGGCGAGTTATACCAGTCTTCAACAACTTGTTTCCAGGTGATTCAGGAAGTGTAGTTATAGCAGTATCACTCACATTAAGATATGATAATTTTTTCATACCTTCCCCAAACTCTGGGAGCACCGCAACTTTTTTACACCCACTAAGATCAAACTTCATCAAAGAATTTGTTTCCAATTTTTCTGGTAGGATTTCAAGGTTTCCACAACCATCCAAGTACACCTCAATAAGCCCCTTCAACTGTCCAAGTGAGGAATGAACCTTGACAAGGGATTTGCAGCCACTAAGATGTAAATGTTCTAAATATGGAACCCCTGAGAAGTCTGGAGTCTCGGTAAAATCATGAGAATAACTCAAGTTGATATATTTCAATTTTGTCATAAACTGGGATCAAACAAAAGATTGTAGAGTTAATCTCACTAAACAGCATATCAATAAAATATGGACACAGAGATATATTTTTAAGATAAACAATAATGCATGAAGTGTCAATCTCACCTGTATGTCATTCCAAAGTTGCTTTATTTTACTTTCAGGCATTTGAATATCAACAAGTTTATACAATGGAGTTTCAAGTGGAAGAGCTTCCAAAGGAAATGATGGCCATTGAACTACTTTTAATCCACCAGCAAAAAATTTCAATCCTCTTGTGAAGATAAATAGATTGTCACCCATCAGATTTATGAAGAGTAGCCTAATATTACTCATCTTTAAGAAGGCTTCAGGATGTACTTTTATTTTGTCTGGCATGTGATAATATCGATCTCGTATAACAATAGCTTCTATTGCCTCAGATCCCTAACACAAATGTCATTTTCAAGAGAAATAACATGAGAATGGTAAGGAGGTAAAGAATATTAAAAATACTTAATGTATGTTAACAAAATGAGACATTTAAAAAACAAGGCACTCACTTCGTTATTTTCCAATACTTCCTTAATGTCCTCAAACTTCCACAACCTGCTACGCTTGCGAACATCATTGGGAGATTCTTGCTGAACTATAGTCCTACCCAACTCTTGAAGTAAATCATGCATCTCTAATCTACAATTTTTTGTTTCAACCAATAAAGTTTTTTGAATCAGCACGTTTATTCCAATTGTAGCATGAAGACCACAACTTTCCAAAATTTGAGTCACATATTTTTTCTGCCAGCCCTTGAACAAACAAGCAATATCTAAAAATATTGTCTTTTCTTCCTCATTCGTTAGTCCATCATAACTTATTTTAAGTACTTGAAGTATATCATTATCAGGAATTTGCTTCAACCTATCTAAAGCATCTATCCACTCAGCTTTACTTCTTCCGCAAAGAAAAGAACCCAAAGCTTTAAGTGCTAAAGGAAGACCTCCAGCATATTCAACTACAAATTCGGATAACTTTAAATAATCCTCATTAGGAGGATAATCTTCACTAAATGCTTTGTTTGAAAATAGTTGAAGAGATTCATCTTCCTTCATGGTTTTCATATGATATATTCTTTGCTCATCTACACCAGATGAGGTGAGCAAGTGGCTATCTCTTGTTGTAAAAATTATTTTGCTTCCTTTACCAAACCAATATGGAGTTTCAGCCAAATTATTTAATTGATTCTTATGATTTACATCGTCAAGGACTAAAAGAACCTTTTTATTGTAGAGAAGCTTCTTTATCATCTTCATTCCCTCATAATCGTCAGAAATTTCCATGTCTTTCTTTTTGAGATGAGAAAGAAACCTTTTTTGCAAAGAGACTAGGCCTTCTCTTTGCGATAAAGTTTCTCTAACATTGGCAAGAAAGCAACACAATTCAAACTTGTGAGAAAGCTTTTCAAAAACAACTCTAGCAAGAGTTGTTTTACCCACACCTCCCATACCCCATATTCCTACAAAACATCTGTCATCCAACCCAATCTCCAAGATTGGCATCATATCAAGCACTCTTGATTCAATTCCAACCAAATTTTCATCATATGATGGTAATTTAGAACTTAAATAAGTCCATACATCTCCAACTATCTTTTTTATACGATCTGCTTCATGCCTACCAAAAAAATATAACATCTTTCAACGTGAGTTATATAGGTCTAATAAATTAAAATAATGATGAAAAATGTTACTTTTCATGAGTATTGTTTACTAAAGCTAATACAATACTGTTATTTTTAATATAACTGGGAATTGTTGAGCAAATAAGAATTGATCCTTCTCCTCATCAAAATTAGAAATGTGATCATTCTACCCAAAAAAAAAAAAAAACAATCAACTTATTCACAATTTCGTTTTATTAATGGATTTATATATGCATCAACTTATTAATTATCAATGTGTACTGTCATTCAGTTAATCCATTGATCACTTAAATTTTTTTCCTTAAAAAATCAAAATGAATACATTTCAATTTTCTATTGTCAAAATTGAAAGTGTTTCTCGGTATCTTAAATGATCTTGTGCGCAAAGTATACCCTTGCTTTTAATTTCAAGTCAAACAAAATCTCCATGCAGTAAAGAATGAAAAGAAAATTTCTCATTATGAGACTTCTTGTATTACAGAGAAAATAATTCAAATAGCCGGCTATTGGGGATTTTATTATAGAGAATGTATTTTTCATAAAAATAACTGAAAGTTAGGAGAAGTGCTTATAGAAATTCCCAATAAACAGTAGGCCAATAAAATTACACTGAAGGACGACTGATAATTATTGTTGTGTTGTGTATGATTAAATTTATAACCATATTGACGGACTGAAATGTTAGTAACGGACTGTTAGGGAGTTGGGTGCCTCTAGTTTTACTGTCATATCACAAGTGTCTGGGCAAAAAGAAAGGAAAAAAAAAAAAACATCAATTTCTTTATGTGATATGGAACACAATATGTCGATAGAAGATTTTAGAAGAATAAAAATTTGATGGGCATGTTGTTGATGAATAGATTTAATTATCTAACTATCACCAAATCCAGTAACCTTAAAACACATAACGAATTGAGTGGGAGAAGAAAGGAAAGGAAATGGAGTTTTTACGACGATATGGAAATCAATTCATTGTGTTTTGGTTCTTGAGTATAATTATAATTTTTATGGTGCATTAAAATAAATTGAATCAGTCAAAAGGACAATAATTGACTATTTTCTCATGATAATATAAGAAAATATGAAAAATATGATTAAATAATTGTAAAGAAAACTTAACTGCCCCTGGTGTCCCAACCAGACAGGTTGGCAATTTCACACAATACATTTCTCCAATTCTGCACTTTCATTTTGTCTTCATGTTCATCCATGGCTTCCCAAAACTGTTTTCGTTGGTGTCTTACATCAGCTGGATCAACACCATAGAATATGGGATAGACCCGTTGATCCAATGTTTTTCGAGATTCAAGGATCTTTTGAAGCTCATCTAGACACCATGTAGATTTTGCATAATTTTCAGAGATAACAACAACCGCACAAAGAGAATCCTGGATTGCTTGAAACAAATCTTGTTTTATGTCTCTCCCTCTCTCAAGATCTACATCATCCCTAAACGTTTTGATGCTACTTCTATTGAAAGCTTCATCTAAATGATCCACAAACTTCAAGCGAGTGTCTTGTCCTGCAAAACTCAAGAAAACATCATATTTCCAGTTAGGAGTTGAATTAAAAGGATTAGAGCTGGAAAAAGATTCTCCTCCAACACTATACGCCATTGCAGTTGCAGGGGTTCAATCTTTTTGTTTTGTCCAAAACGTAATCTGCAACAAATATTCATATAACTAATAGCCCAGGTAAACAAAGAAAGGGAATCAGAGGTATGAAATCATGTAAAACTCGTTAATTATGCAATGATTAATACTGTTAAGAAATGTGTTGAACCGGTCTTGCTTTCTACTCGAAGCTCACTGCTGTGATGTGAAGACGATGGACTGCAATAAACAAGAGATGTGGAAGACAGAACCACCAAACCCTATTTTCTTTATATATCCTTCTTTTCCATTTGGCTTTGTTTAATGCTAAAGTGAAAAGCACAGGCCTACTTTAGTATGGCTTCATGAATTTTCTTTATTATTGACTAGTAAGTTCTTCTCAAGTATTATCTTCGTTTAAATTTCAAAACAGGAAAGTTGTGTTCAGATGGAGGAGGGTTAGTTAATCCAAATTATTGAAGGTTTTCAAGCTCCATTATTCTCTTCTTCATCCTCCACGATGGTTCTCACATTTCACAGTGAATATTACGTTTTCCTAAATTAAATTAAACAAAAGTGAAATCCACTTCAAGTCTAGTTCATAGTCACCAAATTAGTAAAACTGTAAAAAGTTTACCATAAAATAAGGTTAAATTAACGGATAATAAGATTCTGAATGTTTAGATAAATATGCGTTGATATAAGTTCGATTATAAAAATGATTAGATAGATTGAATTAATAGGAAGACATACATAAATAGGTTGCAGATAATGACTTTCGTTGATCGAAAAATAACATAAAGAGACATATTTATCTATAGTAAACTACTCCCTCTAGCATTGTTATCAAAATAAGGAGTCAACTCGTTAAACTTGGCGAGTTGACGTTTTCAGCTATTTTAATTTAAACGTGTCAGATCGCTTTGAAAAAGAGACATATTTGCATGTTGCATTTGAATTCTCCCAAATATAATGTATATATACACGCAGATAATTTTTATAAATTAAAAAAAAACCTATGCTGCTATCCAATGTAAAATTCAAGAAAGGTTAACAAGCATATATAAAATTTTAAACCAAAATTATTGGTTCCTATTATAAGCGTGAGTTTGACAATCTTGTCCTGTGGTTCTTAATTTAAGCGTCATCAAATAATTCACTACAGATCAAAAAATGACAATCATGCCATTAAATGTGTTCCAAAATTATAAAAATTTTCAAATGTACCCTTATTTAATAATGTAATTTACATGAATATTTCCTAATAAATATTATAATAATAATTTGTAACTAGGGTAAACTAGGAAGAAAAAGTCATTAATAACCCTGCTGCTACATTATTACTACTTTATGTGGTTTAATCCATATTCTTTATAGAACAAGAAGAGAAAAAGCCACTTTTCATATTATAGTTATATTATATTCCTCCGGTTATTAATATAGGATCTAATTAGTGAGTTAATATTGGTTCTATATGTAAAACTTACTTCACATGTTCATCAATTTTTTCTCAAATTAACCTTATTGATATTCTGTCAACAATAATCAAGTATGAGAGAAAGGGAAGGAATTAAGAAAGATGCTTAAGGTATTTTTAAAAAAAATATCATATTGACTAATTTAATTAACATCTCTAATCTACTCAAATTATTTAATTAGGTCTTATATTAAGGACTAAAGGAGTATTTTATTATATTATTAATACCTTACGTTGTGCCAAATTCCTCAACGTGAATGCATAATTATGCCACTTTCGATACTCTAACGTTTAATTATTTGACCAAGAGACTACACCAGAGGAATACTATTATTATATTCTCTCTTATCTAAAATATAAGGGGTTTTTTTATAAGAATTTTTCGGCTTATAATATAAGTGATTTGGGAGTTATTAATTATATTTTTAAAAAGTTTTACCTCTATTTATTGGTGTATGGTACGCATTAGGTATTGAAAAAGACGATAGAAATGAGACAAATTTAAATAGGGGGAAAACAATTGAACTTGAAAAAACATATTTTTAATTTAAGATAGGTTTAATGCTTTAAAGACTTTTGCTTGATTTTGGTAAGGTAGTTGAAAGTATATTTTAGAGCATTTGAAGTTCTTCCCTGATAATATTTGTTCTACAATAAAGGAACAATATATACGTCCTCCTTCTGATTTAAGTCACCTCTAACCATTTTACTGAGCCAAGAAAAAGGTGAAGTCATTAAAATTATCTGAAAATGAAATAAATTTTCAATTTTCAAATTTGCATTACATTCTATTTGATAGTTAATAACATTAAATGGAGGTAATATTGAAAAACATCTTAATTAATATTCTATCAAGTGATTTAAATTATCTATCACTTCCATAAAAATGTCTTATATATAATTAAGACCATAAGCAATATATAGTTTTAAAAATATATACGCATACATAAATCAATATATTGATTATGGCTCACGTTGGAGTGATGCATAGGGGAGAAAAAAAGTTTAATGAGGTTAATCTGAAAAATTTAAAAAACAGGGTTGTGAAATTTTTAATAAAGTGAAAATGCAAGATAAAACAGGAAGAAGATTTGATTAAAAGTTTGTAACCTTGCTTCTTCAATTTTTAAATAGAATTCTTTAAAAAAAAAATTTCACCTCGCTGTTCTCCCTTTGTTTTTTCTATTTTCCTCGTACCAAACGGACAAAAGCGTACATCTGAGAAAGATTGAAATGATCACAATTCATTGCATCTAATGGGATTAGCCGAGGTGGAAAGATTTGGCATTGAGTTGACTTGAGCCTTTCAAAATTTTCCAAAAGGCCACAGCCTACTCCTCA